TGATCCTTTGTGTACTTTCCACCATCTTACCTCTCTTTCTTTGATTTATGCTTCTGCCCTTTACCAATTCCAGTTTTATAGAACTACTTATACTTGTCTCCACAATTTAGACTCTGGCAACAGGCATTCTCAATATTTCCATTTATAATACAATCAAACATATGTCCCATCAACAGTTCCGTAATACACACAAAAATAAATCCAAATATTTGCATGACAATTAGAGCGCTCTCTCTTTTTTTAATCCTCACCCACGGACATTTCCATTTTTGTTCAGATAGAGTGGGAGGGAGAGAGAGAAACATCAATGTGAAAGGGACACATCAAGTGGCTGCCTACTGCACAACCCAACCAGGGCTGGGGACAAACTGCAACTGAAGTACATGCCCTTAGCGGGAACCAAACCTGGGTCTCTCTGGACCGCAGGCCAACGCTCTAACCGCTGAGCCAAACCGGCCAGGGCCAATTAGAGCTCTCTTTTTCATCATGTCCTCATGAATTATCTTCAGGGAGGGCTTAGTTCAAGTTTCACATGCTTGGTGAATTCTTCTTGGACCCTCAATCCGAGTGAGCCTTTCGTCTCTCAAGCTACCACGAAGTGAAGACAATGCATTTGTCGGCTGCCTCATTTGTTTCCAAACATCTCCTTCCCTTATCCTCAAACTTTTTTCCTCCCAAAGGAAACGCCTACTAGGAAAGACAAATATGTAAAACACCAACTCTGGAAGAAAATGGTACAAGCTCCAGCTCCCTTGCCCTATCCCTAAAGATGTTTAACCAAGCATTTTAAAACTACTGGTCCATTCCACTAATGAATGCTGTTAGCTACCTTTTTATGTTATCTTCCTAGCTAGATTATTAATCTCCTGGGGGTGCAGGCATTATTTTAGTGACCTAAATTCAACTACTATTTCAGCAATATGCACCAGGTACTGGGCCAGTAAGGATACAGTACTTTCATAATTTGGTCCTTAACACAACCTCTGGGGTAGGCATCCCCAACCCCCCATTTTACACATAAGGTTAAGTGGGGCTAGAAGAAATGGCCCAATTTACTCAGTGGTAGAGATGTAACTCACACCCAGGTCCTCAAGGGTCTAAATCCAATGCACTTTCTTTTCTTTAAAAAAAAAGTTTTTTTCTTCATTGATTTTGAAAGAGAGAGGAAGGGAGAGGGAGAGAGAGAAACATCGATGAGAGAGACTATTGACCACCGTCTCCTGCATGCCCTCCACCCCAGGGAGGGGCCCACAACCCGGCATGTGCGTGACAGGAATAGAACCGGCGACCTGGTGCCTGGCTCGATGCTCAACCACACTGCCCGCACCCAGCGCATTTTCTTTTTTGTTTTTTAAATCCTCACCCAAGGATATTTTTCTATTTATCTTCAGACAGAGTGGGAGGGTAAGAGAGGGAGAGAAAGGGAGAAAGATCAATGTGAGAGGGACACATTGACTGGTTGCCTCCCACACGACCCCAACCAGGGCCGGGGATGAACTACAACTGAGGAACGTTCCCTTGGCTGGAACCAAACTCTACCGCTGAGCCCAACTGGCCAGGGCCCAATGCATTTTCTGTTCACCAAACAGCCTCTACGTCTGTTCTTGCCGATTCTTTTCTAGGGTAGCTGAGAGAAGACCAGCTGGGGCCAGCACCAGAGAGGCTACAGTTAGTAGCAATCATGACTACAAGTTCAATCGTGAATTAAGCTCATATGGTCTACACCAGTGACGATGTTTAGTGTTCCAACCACTCTGTGATTCTGGGCTACTGGGCTACCCCTAACAACTGTTTCCCTTCTCTTTCTGTTCATCATTTTAAAAAATGTATTTATTGATTTTTTAGAGAGAAAGGGAGAAACATCGATGTGAGAAAGAAACATCAATTGGCTGCCTCCTGCATGCCCCCTACCAGGGATTGAGCCCAAAGCCTGGGCATGTGCCCTGACTGGGAAGCAAACCGGGACCTTAGTCCATGGGACAGCACTCAATCCACTGAGCCACACCCTGGCTGGGCTCTCTGTTCATTATCTCCAAAACTGACCTGATAGGGTGATGGCATCTTCCTATATAATCTCATTTAAATTAAATATAAAACAAACAAAAACTTTAATGTGTCCAGGAATAAGTAGTTAATTTGCTTCCCTTTCTTCCCTCTCAATTTAGTCTACATTTTTTCTAATACTCTCAAGAAGATCATTTGTCTTTCCTAGTTTACAGAAAAGAAAGGAGAACGGGGAAATGGCTTATTTAATGGACCACTAAGAAGGAAAAATGGCAGGGACTAGATATTACATTAGGATTTAAAGTTGAAGGGTTCATTTACAAAAATAAAAATTCAGTGTATAAAAAAATAGGCCAGCTGCATTAACAATGTAAAGACAAATAAGAGACTGTAATCCAACTTTCAAATGTTTTATTTTTAGTGTTTTAAAACATTTTAATACAACAAAGATATAAAATAATATATATTAGTTAAATCTCAATTTAATTTAGAATCAAGATATTTACTTATATACAATACTGTGCTTCAAGGTATGGCTACCACAGGAACTTCCACATCTTCAAGTAATACTAGTTTCTCTGTGGACAGGGTGACATTTAGGTAGAATTCTTGAAACAAAACATGCCTACTTTAATTCAAGCTAATTTTGCTTCCCTCATTATCTACCAGTTTCCACTTCCTTTGTTTCATATCAGAAATACTTCAATTTGTCTTAACAATCCATAGATTTTTCTGAATAACAAATTATTAGAAGTAAGCATTTTTAAGATGACATTACTAACTGATAACATTGCTTGGTTGTATTCAGACAATTTGGTAGTTCAGACTGAAACACCTGAAATAACAATGAAATTAACATAGTCGTCTTTCTCTCTCCATATCAGGCACAAGGCTTTCTTATGCTAAAAATGGAGTACACTGAATAAAAAGTCCTTTGGTTAATTTAGGAACATATTCTAAAAATCAACTTTATTGGTAGCTGAATTATGGCTTATAAATTTCACAGATTTTTTTATCAAACTTGATGCAAAGTAAAGGCCATGTTTTAGTTACTTAACATTGATGGCATACACTGGAGGTGAGGGGTAGGCGAGAAGGGGACCAAAACCTATTTCCATAGTAATTTCAGTCATTAAAACCACTCAAAGACAGAGAGGGCAAAAATAATCTCAACCTCTTTCCTTTTTTTTTTTTTAATCCTCACCCGAGGGCATTTTTCAATTTTTTGTTCAGATAGTGGGAGGGAGAGAAACATCGACGTGAAAGGGACACATCAAGTGGCTGCCACCCACACGACCCAACCAGGGCTGGGGACAAACTGCAACCGAGGTACGTGCCCTTAGCGGGAACTGAACCCGGGTCTCTCTGGACCGCAGGCCGACGCTCTAACCGCTGAGCCAAACCGGAAAGGAATGGGCTCAACCTCTTTCCTTTTTCATTGGTCACCGGAAGCAGCCTGACTTTCGATGTTACCAACAATCCTTCTCAATAGAGGTATAGGGGAAATATGGGATAAACTTTTCACAACTATAGGCTGTCTTAAATGCCAAGTAAAAATGGCATTAAAACTGACATGCTTTGTTGGCATTGTGACTATCTAAATGAAACCAGCACTGTTTAAAGAAGCTTTAAACTATTCTAAGAGAGAGCTTTCTTGTCTCCAGTGCCTGAATACCTTAAAGGACTATTAATATAATTACTTTTGGTAAGGGATAACTTAAGTCTACAAGAGACTATCAAAGAATTAAATGTATTAGATCAGAGTATTTAAAAGCAAGAATATAGTTAATTTTCTCAAGCATTTTGGAATTAGAATCCTTAAAAAAAAAGTTCACTATGAAACTGATAAACTTGCCTTCTGCTGAATCCAGTCAAAGCAGGTTAGTGTTATGAATATGATTTTGAAAACATAAACAACACTTTCCAAAGAGATGTCCTTAAAACAGATTGTTTCATATCAACCATAAAAGCATTTGGCTCCTCTCACTCCATTTACGATGACAGGATTTGGGGAGCTCTAGGAACAACAACCGGGCAGGTACAGGGTAGAGAAGAATGCCACTTGCAGCGTCAGTTACACTGCCAACAGGTCTCTCACTCAATGGTTCTTTCACGTGAACAGTCCACACGTGTTAACTGACTAGTTCTAAGGCTAAGTTCGATGCTTTCTGATTTAAAAGATACTACTAATAAACTGACCCAGCATATGAAAGTTGAATTTTGACCCTAGCTATTCTGGCCACAGAGAACTATGGAGAGAATAGGCTTGTTGAGAATTCTGCAGCATAGCAAAAAAGGTTCCTTCCAAATTATTTGGTGATAACAACAAACTTGCCTTCTTCAAAACATCCTACTCCTTACAAACTTCAAGTACCCTTCAGTAGCACTGCCCAGTATAGACTTCAAAAAAAGGAAGGAAGGAAGAAAGGGAGGAAGGGAGGGAGAAAGGGAGGAAGGGAGGAAGGGAGGGAGAAAGGGAGGAAGGGAGGAAGGGAGGGAGAAAGGGAGGAAGGGAGGGAGGGGGAAGGAGGAGGAGGAGGAAGAAGGAAGGAAGGAAGGAAGGAAGGAAGGAAGGAAGGAAGGAAGGAAGGAAGGGAGGGAGGGAGGGAGGGAGGGAGGGAGGGAGGGAGGGAGGGAAATGAAAGGGAGAGGGAGAGAGAAATAAAGAAAAAGAGAAAAGAGGAATGGCCATGCTGTCCCAGGAACGTAGAAAATGCATCAAAGACTTTCAATATAACCTCCAGTTTGCATTCCCAAACCAAACTTTCTTGGTTCCTTCTATACTGAGGTCTCAGTGTTGAATGATGCAAGCCTCTCACAAGTCTGCAACTACAGCACCCAGTACAAGGTCAAAAATATGTAGATCTAAGGCATGTAGCTTCTCTACCTAGCCACATTCACAACCAACATGTAAGTGTCAATTTCCACCTCCACTATGATTTAGATTTTAAAAAGGAAAAAAAAAAAAAAAGACAAAATCTGGAAATTTCTGGACAAACAAAAAGTGACAAAAATACAGGTTTCACATTAAGAAAAACAAACAAACAAAACAGAAGGGAATTTTGTCTCAAAGTTTTCCAAGTAAGAGACTTGGAGATGTTTGGTTTGTGTAAACACTGCCTTGTAACACTTACAACAATAAATTATAAGTCTAGCTTACCTTTTCCTCAAAACAGATTTGATAAATGCAAGGCTCTAAGCTATTTTACAATCCTCACTGCAGTCTGCTGTTAGGCACTGTCAATTCAAGAGCTCTGCAAATTAGTTGCAATTTATTTTTTTCTATTTTGTTCTAGAATAGAATCCATATGAAGGAAAGAAGACTGATGGTAGGAAATTTACCATTAAGTAGCTATTTAACTTTCTTGACTTATTGTTGCCACAGATTTTTTTCAAACATTTCCCCAAAAGCCAACATTAGTCCTTCCCTAGCTAAATTCAGTCCTGTACTGTCATTTGGGGGGAAAATGACAGTACCACATCTTTTGATGTCAAAGGTCAAACTCCTCTGACGGGCACAGGAAATATCCTTCACCCTTCAAAATTGTGTAATTTCCTTAGATGATATATTGGCATTTTTGTCCCTAGCATGTAATAGAATCAACAATTTAAGATACTGTAAGATTCTGAAGTATTACATTTAAAAGCATAATAAAACAAATCGCCTTGTGCCATTTCTCAAGTGAGAAATAAAAAATATAATCAGAGCAGACTCAAACTGGGGCCACTCAGCACTTGGCTAAAACTTGTTCGCATATTATTCCTTTCCTGCCCAATCCATTTAGGCTTCTCTGTAGTTTATACAAGGGTGGGAATATAACTCAAAGTGCAAAAATAAAATATTTCACCCATATAAGGACCAGGTTCCTGCTAACTGGCCTAATTTTAGACCTCAATATGCCAGCAACTTTTCTAACTCCTTGTTTTAAAATGGAATGTAAAAACTACACAATTAATAGTCTATGTGGCTCAGCTTATCAGCTGGGGTTCAAATTCCAATTCCACAACCATCCTGTCATTAATTACTCTAAAAAAATCATCAAAAGTGAACTGACAGATTTCATCAGAGGTCAAATTACGTACGGTACTAAATTTCTAGTGTTGTAAATAGCAACTAAGTTATATCACTTCCTGACTGCCAAAGTAAGACTAAATATAAAGAATGTATGTACACAATTGTGTTTAAAAAATAAAAACCTTTCATACCCAAATATGTCTGTGACTGTTTACTTCTGATAGCCAAGAATGAGAAATTTCAAAAACCAAAAAGTTATACTATGCTTGCAACCTGCTATAAATTTCTTTTCAGGAAGAAAAAACATTTTTGCATGCCTATCTCCATACTTAAGGACCTAAGAACTTCATCTAACATTTGGTAAAACACTCCACTGTTTTGCTCATTAAATAACATCATTATAAAGCATGAAACTAAGCTGTCATCTAACAGCTGTAGCACAAAGTTCTTCCAGTACCTGCAACACTAAAATTCAGCCAATTTCATTTTTATGGATGCAGCCCCCCCCCATGAGTTTATGGTCACATCGACCCCTCAGAGCAAAGAGGAACTGCATCTCTTGCTGTGTCTTTGGGGAAAATGCCAGCACTCTACTTGTACTGTCACCTCACGGCCCCTTTCTCTTCTTGTTGCAGGCATCTGCTATGTTCAATATACTTTTTAAAAATATGTTAGATGCCAAAAATTATGTTAGTAAAACTGATTAGTTTCCAGAATTGCATTTTTAAAAAGACATAGAGATTAATTCAAAGAACAAGTACTGTTCATCTGGTAGGGAATTTTCCTTTGGAGATAATAAGGAACTTCAAAAAATATTATTTCTTGACTGGAGTCTGACTGGAAATATAAAATAAAAAAAAGTTTTCAACCAACAAATTGCTTAAGTTCAATAACCAAATACTCAACAGGTAAGGGAAACAGCCTTACTTCAATCACAACATTACTTCTGCCTAAAGGGAAGGGGCAAAAAACATTTACTTAAGCTTTCTGTTCAAACAGGTAAGGACTCTTGATTGTTCCTTCTCGCTTTCTATAGTCACAGCCTTGCTCAGAACTGGGAACTTTACTTTGTCAACATAAAAGCCAAAAAGCAAGGCGTCCAGGAACAACCTAGGGGGAGAGAGTAAAATTATTCACTTTCAAGAATTATTGTATATTTAATCATGAACCCACAACAAAGATAGTCTTCATCCAATTAGTCTTTTCATTATTGCTGGTTTTGAAAATGGCCAACAATATTCATTAGGTACTGTACCATTAACATTACATTCAAAAAAAGAAAACATGGGGAACCAAATTCTTGCTCTCCTACTCTGCTGATACGCTCTAGTATTAGCTAGAGTGTGGTAGTACAAAAAGAGTCTTGTTGTGATATAAAAGGCAATAAACACATCAATGGAATAATGTTCATGGGCAGCCAAAATGAAGAAGATTCCAAAGAGATTGAGAACCCAGGATAAAGTGTGCAAGAAATTCCAGCTTCTTGGTGTATCTGGGAAAAGAACAGAAAAATCATTTAAAAATGACATTCCTTCCAAAGCTTCTCAGAAATGTTCCTTAGGTCAGTCTCCCATTCTTCATAAAACTTGACACCCTTCCCGTAACTCCTCCGCAGTTAGTCATCTAATATGCATACGAACACTAAACAGATACTTACATTCAGTGACAAAGAAATTCAGCATAGTTAGGACGACTGTGTGGCCACTGAACATGTAATCTCCACAAGTGTGAACACCGGTGAGAGTCATACCGAAGCCACTCCAAATGGCAAAGGCCCGGTGTAGCTTCTCCCAAACACTGCCATATATCTATAAAGAAAGATAAGAATCAGTGTCTCAAATCCTTAGGGAGGTAAGAGATCGGAACATCCGCTCCCACTGAAATTCAAATGCTGCCTGGCGGGGTAGTAGCTCAGCTGGTTAGAGAGTTGTCCCAATACACCAAGGTTGTGGGTTCGATCCCCAGTCAGGGCACATAAAAGAATCAACCAATGGATACATTAATAAGTGGAACAATAAACTGATGTTTATGTTTCTCTCTCTCCTTCCTCCTCTCTCTAAATCAATAAATTAAAAAAAAAAAAAAGATACTCAAATGCTGAATGACTTAGAAATAAGATCTAAGCAAAAGCAACCAGACTCCCAGTCTAATTAATTCCAGATATCAAGAATGGGTGGTAAAAGCTCGACTGTACTCAGAAATATTTGATAATTAAGTAAAATCAATGTAATTCAAACTTCTTTACTAGGATTGTCTTTATAAGAAAAAAGTCATTACAATACAAAAATATTTCCAAGTTTTTAATCCAATAATAAAATAGCAGTATTTGGCTGTTCTTTCCAATAAGAAATAGGCTATGAGAGAGACAATGGTAGGCTAGGAAAGAGACAATGGCTACCAATCAACATCCATTCTCTTCTTCTTCAGTGGTAACAGAATTTAAAATCTATTTAAAGTGGCAATGAACTCAACCAAAACACTGCGTTCCCAGCCTCCCTTGCAGCTGGGTGTAGCTATGTGACTAAATTCTGTACAATAAGACATTAGTGAAAGTATCAACAAATTCTGGGAAGGTTATTTAGAAAGGAAAGAGACAACCTCTTGGAGGAAGTTTTTTCTACCTTTCCTTCTTTTAGCCTACAAATCAGACATGATAGATGAAGTCCCAGCAGCCATCTTGGACCACAAAGTGGTCTTGAAGACGCAGGCCAAGTGTTAGGAGAGCAGAAAGACAGAAGAATCATGAGTTTTATGTTTTTTTGTTTTTGTTAATCCTTACCTGAGGATATTTTTTCCATTGATTTTTAGAGTGTGGAAGGGAGGGAGAAGGAGAGAGAGAGAGAAACAGAGAGAGAAACATTGATATGAGAGAGACATATCGACTGGCTGTCTCCTGCACGTGCTCTGATTGGGGCAATGGATCCAACCTGCACCCAGGTGCATGCCCTTGACCAGAACTGAACCTGAGACCCTTCAGTGCTCAGGCTAACATTCTAACCACTGAGCCACATGGACCAGGACAAATCATGAGTTTTTGTTTTTGTTTTTTAATCCTCACCCAAGGACATCTTTGCATTTATCTTCAGATAGAGCAGGAGAGAGAGAGGGGAAGAGAGAGAGAGAAACATCGATGTGAGAGAGACACTGAGTGGCTGCCACCCACCCAACCCAAACCGGGGCCGGGGACAAACCGCAACCGAGGTACATGCCCTTAGTGGGAACCGAACCCGGGCCTCTCATGTCCGCAGGCTGATGCTCTAACCGCTGAGCCAAACTGGCCAGGGCGAGTTTTTATTTTTTTCAATAATTTTTCTTTATTGATTTTAGAGAGAGAGGAAGGGAGAGGGAGAGCGATAGAGACATAGATGAGAGAGAACATCGATTAGCCACCTCCTGCATGCCCCCACTAGGGATTGGGCCCACAACCTGGGCATATGCCCTGACCAGGAATCTAACTGGCGACCTCTTGGTGCATTGGTGGACGCTCAACCACTGAGTCATACCAGCCAGGCTGAATCATGAGTTTTTGATGACTCATAAAACGTTATCATATCTGACCTGGAGTACCTACTCTCAGAGACTTCTCTTTTTTTTTTTTTTATCCTCACCTGAGGACATTTTTTTGTTCAGGTAGAGTGGGAGGAAGAGAGAGGAAGAGAGAGACATCGATGTGAAAGGGACACATCGAGTGGCTGCCACCCGCACGACCGACCAGGGCCGGGGACAAACTGCAACCAAGGTACATGCCCTTAGCGGGAACCGAACCCAGGTCTCTCGGGACCGCAGACTGATGCTCTAACCGCTGAGCCAAACCGGCCAGGGCTCAGAGACTTCTCTTATGAGAGAATAAGCCATTCTTTGTTTATTAAATCAAAGCCATCTTTTTTTTTTTTTTATCCTCACCGGAGGACATTTTTCCATTTTTTGTTCAGATAGAGTGGGAGGGAGACAGGGAGAGAGAGAGAGAGAGAGAGAGAGCGAAACATCGACATGAAAGGGACACATCGAGTGGCTGCCACCCGCACAACCCAACCAGGGCCGGGGACAAACTGCAGCTGAGGCACGTGCCCTTAGCGGGAACCGAACCTGGGTCTCTCCGGACCGCAGGCCAACGCTCTGACCGCTGAGCCAAACCGGCCAGGGCAAACCAAAGCCATCTTAAATTTCCTGTTATTAGCAACCAAACCTAATACTGACTCCTACACATAAGCTTAAAAAAAGCAATCCATTTTGAGGAAGAGTTTGAACAACGGTCACATACACACACCCAAAAAGGCATTTAACATATAATAATACAAAAAACTGTTAAAATTTTATGTACATTCATTATGAGCAAGGCACGCTACTAAGTGCTTTATGTGTTACTGCACTGAATTTTCACAACAATCCTATGAAGTAATTCAATTGTGCAGATGAGGAAACTGGTTTAGAGGAATCACACAGCTAGTAACATAATTCATGATATGAATCCAGGGAGTCCAATTCCAAAACTCTTATTTCTTGAATACTCTATTGTGGCTAATGAACAAAAGAAACTGAAATCGGCAGTGAACAGTAAACATATTTAGGTATTAGATAATAGTCTAGAGACACAGGTTTAGGCTTTAACTAAATGTTTCCATCGCTTTGGTTGTCAGATAGTTTTCAGTCAAAGATTAAGAAAATACGTTAGTCACTTATAGTCAAAGATTGTAAAATATGTTAGTCATGTCCTGAGGGCCTGCCTGTAAACAAGTTTCAGGAAAAAATGTTTAAAAGTACACTTTGCTTGAGATAATAGAAAAATTTTGCTAATTACGCACAAAATCATAGCTTAAACATTAACAAAGGTTTCGAGATACTTAGTTTCTGCTTTATGCTTTAAAGATGTCATTGACAAACAATTATGAAATATTTTGTAGAATCCTGGTTCTGTAACCAGATAGATCACCCAGTCACAGTGAAAAAGGCACCAAATAAGATGATATCAGGAACTGAATTAATCAGACTAAGGAAAACCACAAAGGCTTGCATAAAAACTAACCAATCAGCTTCCCCCTCAGATCCTAACTCCTAACCCTCAATCTCTGCCTTTAAAAACTCTTGACCAATTCATATGATCTCACTTATTTGTGGAATACAATGAACATAACAGTTTGAGGAATGGGGTCGTCCCAGAGACGCGGAAGCGGGGTACAGACTGACAATCCCCTAAAAAGTGGGGAGGTGGGGGAGGGATAAACCACAGAACTTATATGCATGTATGCATGAACAGTGGACATGGACAACAATCTGGGGAAGGGGCAGGGAGGGAAGGGGAGGGGGGAATCAGTGGGGGGGGGGGAGGAGAAACATCTGTAACAAAAATTAATCAATAAAAAAATAAATAATAAATAAATAAATAAATAAATAAATAAATAAATAAATAAATAAATAAAAACTCTTGACCAAAAGCCACTGTGGACTTGGGGTTTAAAGCTATAGTTTCCTGTTCTCCTTGCTTGGCACCACGGCAGTAAATGGCTTCAATTTCTCCAATGCAAAACTAAGTGTTCAGTGTTCAGCTTTGCTGAGTATGGAGTGGGCTGACACCCTTGGTTTGGTAACAAAACGTCTTCAATAGATATAACAATTTCATTAGAAACCTCATCTGCTGATTATACACTACCCAGCTTTCCCTTCCTGCCTTAGTTGAGGGCAGGAGAGTAAGAAGAATTTATTACTAGAGAAAAGAGAAGGTACTAAATACACAATTTGGTTCTTTCATGACTTCTGATGAAAATGGGGTTAGAGTTGTTACTCATGAAAGTAAAAAAATCAGGCAGTGAAGAACAGAGACTGCTAGGAACAAGTCTTAGCCACAGGAAACAAGTAACACAGTCAAAAAAAATAAAAAAAACAATCATTGCTCAATTACTCAAGTCTTCCTATCTTTTCTAATCTTCAATATCCTGAATAGTCTTCCAGGAAAATAAAGTTATAACTACACAACAGAATAAGATGATCTGATAAGACAAGGTGTAAAAATTTGCTTTAAGCATTTCTTTCCTTAAGGTGAGTCCATTAATTTAAAAAACAGGCTTGTTCTTTGTTCTGTCCCCAAACCTCCTACTTCTGAGAATGAGATTTCAAGCAGTTAATTTATTACAATGAAAATGTCCTACAGAATTCACTGTATGGGATTTGATTGCTAGTTACTGTCACTTTAACTTTCTCTTTTAAAAAATATGTTTTTTATTGATTTTTAGAGAGAGAGGAAGAGTGAGCAAGAGAGAGATAGAAACATCGGTGAGAGAGAAACAATGATCTGCTGTCTCCTGCACGTCCCCTGCTGGGGATTGAGCCCACAACCCAGGCATGTGCCCTGACCGGGAACTGAACTGGGACCTCTTGGTGGATGGGGCAATGCTCAATCAACTGAGCCACATTGGCTAGGCATTAACTTTCTATTCTATTTTTAATGACTGCTGCAAATAATAGAGGTCAATAAGTAGGTTATCTTATAATTAATAGCATTTAGGGCAGATTTGAATAAAAAGCTCCATATATATCTAACTGATAATGAAAAGTAGTCATTAGAGACAGAAAAAGGGCTGTCCATATTGTAGAGGGATGGTATCTAATTTATTTTTGTAGCATATGTTGCAGCCCTATGGGTATATATTTAGTGGTTGACCCACAATTAAATCGTTTGGGTACAGGAAATTCTCTTTTCAGCATAGTAAATCTACATTTTTCTTCTTTTAAATCTTTTAATCAATTAGCATGCTACTTGAGGAAATTATCCTATCCCTACTTCACACCATGTACAGAAATAAATTCAACAGATTAAAAATTTTAATATAAAACAAGACTATAAAAGTTTCAGATATCATCTTTCATTAATCAGAATGGTAGTGACTCAAAAGACTGATAATAAGTGGTGTTGGCACGGTGGTGGGAATACTGGCATGCATACATTATTGGTAATAGTGAAAATTCAACTATTCTAGCAGATATATGAAGAACACATATCAAAATGTTTAATGTGTGTGTTCTTTGATTTCATAATTCCACTTCCAAAAACTTATCTTAAGGAGATAATTAAATAGTGAAAAAACATAAATGTACAAGGATGTTTACAAAAGCATTATTTATAAATCATAAGATTTGAAAACAACCTAAGTGTACATCACTTAAAGACTGGTAAATAATGCAATGGAACACATTGCAGCTATTGAAAAGGTGAAGTATGGCTATATGTATTTCTTCAGAAAAAAGTAAACAATATACTATTAAATAAAACATAAGCTAAAAAACTATGTCTGTAATATAATCCTATCTTTTGTTTTAAAAGTATCTATCCAGATCAATTTATTTGAATGTATTAGCATACTTAAAAATAGCCTATATACCCAAGGCAATGTGCTCAATTAATATTTGACAAAGGTGACAGGAGCATACAGTGGAGTAAGGACAGCCTCTTTAATAAATGGTGTTGGGAAAATTGGACAGCTACATGCAAAAAAATAAAACTAGACCATCAACTTACACCATACACAAGAATAAACTCAAAATGGATAAAAGACTTAAATGTGACTCATGAATCCATAAAAATCCTAGAAGAAACTGTAGGCAACAAAATTTCAGACATCATACGCAGCAGAATTTTCACTGATACATCACCTAAAGCAATAGAAACAAAGGAGAAAATGAACACATGGGACTACCTCAAACTCAAAAGCTTCTGCACAGTGAAAGATACAATCATCAAAATGGAAAGGCTACCCACTGTATGGGAGAGCATAATTGCCAATGATATATCAGATAAGAGGTTAATTTCCAATATATATAGAGTGCTCATACAACTCAACAAAAGGAAGACAAAGAACTCAATTAAAAAATGGGCAGAGGAACTAAATAGACACCTCTCCAAACAGGACCTACAAATGGCTAAGAGACATATGAAGAAATGCTCAACATCACTAATCATCAGAGAGATGCAAATTAAAACAACAATGAGGTATCACCTCACACCTGTCAGAATGGCCGCCATCAACAAATCATCAAACAACAAGTGTTGGCAAGAGTGTGGAGAAAAGGGGACTCTAGTACACTGCTGGTGAGAATGCAGACTGGTGCAGCCACTATGGAAAACAATATGGTGTTACCATAAAAAATTAAAAATTGAACTTCCATTTGACCCAGTGATCCCACTTCTAGGAATATACCCTAAGAAGCCTGAAACACCAATCAGAAAGAATATATGTACCCCCATGTTCATAGCAGCACTATTTACAATAGCTAAGATCTGGAAACAGCCCAAGTGTCCATCGGTAGACAAATGGATAAAAAAGTTGTGGTACATATACACAATGGAGTACTACGCAGCTGTAAGAAAGAAAGATCTCTTATCCTTTGAGACTACATGGAGGAACCTGAAAAGTATCATCCTAAGTGAAACAAGACAAACAGAGAAAGACAAGTATTATATGATCTCACTTATTTGTGGAATATAATGAACATAACAGTGTGAGGAATGGGGTAGTCCCAGAGACGTGGAAGTGGGGTATAGACTGACAATCCCCAAAAGAGGGGGTGGTGGGGGAGAGATAAACCACAGAACTTATATGCATGTATGCATGAACAATGGACATGGACAACAAAGCTGGGGACAGGGCAGGGAGGGAGGGGGTGGGGGGAATCAGTGGGGGGAAAAGGAGAAACATCTGTAACAAAAATTAATTAATAAAAAAAAAAATAGCCTATGTGACTATACACATGACTGTTAAGAGCATTATTTATGGAGTAAAAAAAGAATTTTATGAGCTTTTACTTTTAATTTATATATTTCTATAAAATTTAATTTAAAAATAAAACATTTCATTATTTGTTTATTTATTTTAGAGAGAGAGAAACATCAATTTGTTGTTCCATTTGTTTAAGCATTCATTGATTCTTGTATGTGCCATGAACAGGGACTGAACCTACAACCTTGGTATAAAGGGGAGATGCTCTACCTGTCCAGGGCTAAAATTTGAATTTTTATTATAAACTCATATAACTCTATAATTAAAAAATATTATTCTCCCCCCCTCTTTAAAAATCCTCATCTGAGGATATTTTTCCATTGATTTTTTTTTTTTTTTTTTTTAGAAAGAGTGGGAGGGAGAGAGAAATATTGATGTGACAGAGATACATCAACTGATTGCCTCCTGAACAACCCTGACTGGGGCCAGGAACTGAACCCTCAACCAAGGTACATGCCCTTGACTGGGAATCAAACCCAAGTCTCTTTGGCTCAAGGGCCAACATTCTAACCACTGAGCCAAACCAGCGAGGACTACTTATCCTTTTTGGAAAAATAAAGAAACAAAAACAGCATTTACCTTAAAAATAAAACATTTCCTTTATACTAAATCCTAAATGTTATATTACCCCTCCCACCTTTCTTACTGGTCAGTGTCCTAATACCCGAATAAAGTTCTGTCACCCTTCAGCTCAGGGCTATATTTTTAGCCCTTTATCTCCTTTGGCTGCCTAATCTTCCCTTGTTGGCATTTCAGCTATTTATATTGCAGTAGAAGAACTGACACTTAATTTTATTTTACACTTTACAAACAACATTAAAATAACAAAGGTGTTAATATATTCATTTGAGCATTTGGGAACCCAACTAAAACATGGAGGCTTAGAAAAGTAGGATAATAAGTTCTTTTGTCCAAATTTAAGGAGTCACAACAGCCAATTTTGTATATAAAATACAGGTGATTTTCAGGGTATTTTTATTTTATTTATTTTGTTGTTGTTAATTCTCAACTGAGGATATTTTTCCATTGATTTTTAGATAGAGTGGAAGGGAGAGACAGAGAGAGAGAGAAAAACATTGATGTGAGAGAGACACATCAACTGGTTGCCTCCCACATGATCTCGATCAGGGTCAGGGATTGAATTTGCAACCCAGGTTCATACTTTTGACCAGGAATCGAACCTGCGACCCTTCAGTCCTCATGTCAATGCTCTAACTGCTGAGCCAAACTGGCCAGGGCTTATTTTTTATTTTTTAAAGTTATTCATTACCCAGGTTTTTTTGTTCCCATCTGCATAATCTCTTCTCTCTCAGTTTTACCAGAAGAGATATCTGCAGTATACCAAAACAAGCTACAACGTATAAAACAAAAACCAAAAAAAAATCATACATTATTTAGTATATCCCAGAAAAAGTAAAGTTTAGAGTAGAGTAGTACTATATTTTAAATAGAATATGATCAAACTAACACTTTTTAAAAAGGGGTGATGAGGACAATGAAGGGGCCAGTCATGTGATGTGAAGAACTGAAGATGCTAAGGATAGTGGGAAAGGGAAAATGATTAATTCAAAGGAACTTCTATACCTCTACAGTGGATCAATGGATAGAAGTAACAGAGAGGTAGATTCTGGCTTAAGATTTTACCAAATTGTTTCTAGAGGTTTATTACAGATATTGAAAATACTAAAAAGCACATTTTAATAGTAAAAGCAAAGTCTTAGCCCTTCTGTATATATGGTGCCATCAACCCACCAAGAACAAGCAGAAAGAATGATAAAGGTAGCAGGCTACCTTTCCAGTACACTGTAGGTGCTGTCCTGGAACGGAGAGGGAGGTCACAAACATGGTAAAGCAGCGAAGCAAGAATACAGTGCCCATCAGACTACAGAGCCTTCGCAGAAGTATTGACCTGTAAACAGAGCGACCAAAAAGGGAGAAAGATCAGAAGAGAACAAACAAAATAACCCAGACATCAAATGTTCACTTAAGGGGAGAGCAAACAGGAAAACTGCTAGACTCTTGGAAGAGGACAGAAATCTTAGAGACTAGCATTGTAAAACTTTCTGCAATGATGGAAATGTTCTATAATTGCACTGTCCAACAAGCTATCTATGTGGCTTTTGAGCACTTGAAATGTTACTAGTGCAACTGAGGTACTGAATATTAATTTTATTTCATTTTCACTAATTTAAATTTCACACATGGCTACCACCTGCCATGTTGGACAGTGGAGACCTAAGAGCATCATTTCATTGATAAGAAAATATGGCTAAGAGAAAGCAAAAGAGGTATGTAAAAGAGAAGACAAGCCTGATTCTTAGCTTAGTGTTAGTCCTATTACTCATATATTACTCATAAACTATTTACTTAATGAGAGCTAAAGTCGAACATGTAGTTCTAGGGAATGTTTTGCTCATTAATAGCACTGTAAATTTGTTAGTGATAGTAGCTATCTGCTAAATGTTAACTTTCCTAACTTAAACTTAAGCTATAAAATACTATGTTTTTTTAAACACGAATTTTTATATTAACCTGTTAACCGGGGAATTCCCTTTTCACTGTATGCAACGTTTGACGTATTTATACATCCCGCTCGGTTAACAGGTTAAATATATTTCTAACCAAAATTTCAAAGTGTATTGAGACATGACTTACATTGTTATATTATTTTTTTAAATGTCTTAAACCAAAACAGACTATAAGATACTTAAGTTCAGGGACTATGCTTGACACATTTTCAAAATGCTACTCCCACCCTTAAAAAAAACCACTGAACACGAGGTTAGGTATATTCCAAACTTCAGTGTACACCTGGGATGGAGCCTAGGATTCTGCATTTTAACAAGAGCTCAGGTGATTCTAATGAAAATGGCACAATGACCACATTTGAGAAACACCTCCTTTGACTAATGAAACATGAAAATTTGCATTTAACTGGCACTGCTATGCTTTGTTAAATCTACAAAGGTTTCCTATAAAGCAAACTCTTTCTTGTTTTTAAGAGAAGATAAATTCAAATCTACAGGGTCTTGGAAGATAAAGTTAAACCAGAAAGCATTAGGGATACATATGGTTTTAAATCACCTCTGGTTTTAAGCAATATTGCTACAAAACAGGAGAAAATGAAGTGCAATATGGCCTAAAATAGCAATTATCAGCCTTTCTTTTCACCTTCAAGGCATTGAAATAACTGCTGCTTAGGACCTAAAGCCCATCACTGGTTTTACTCAAGCACTCCCTGGTGAGAAGAAAGAATAAAAAATTCAAGAAAGTGTCCCTATTTCTCTTTAGTGTCCAAAGACAATGAATAGTAGATTCACAAACTGTCTAGTTCTTTAATTTTTTTCTTCACTATGCCTTATTTTTTACTTAAATCAAGTAATTTCCCCCTCATTAAGGTAGGATAGGAGCCTCCCCTTATCCTCCTCTTCTCTTTTTAATGAGAAAAAATTTCTTCCCTTTATATTTCTTGATTAAAGTACCAAAGAACTTCCCTTATTCAGCAACTTTCTCCACTATCTAAAGTAAACCACACTGACTAGGCACGCACGGTATGTGCAAAATAATCTCTTTTTTAATAGGTCTTCTCCAAGCAGAGAACCATTTCCTCCATCCAAACATCTGACCAAAGACTGTCCTTGGAGGAGTTTCGGTCCTTCTACAGAAAGTCACATTTTTCATTTGTTTCCAAAGAAAGATAATGGCTAGATTGTCAATGGTTGGCCCATGTCTGAACATCACTATCTCTGATTCACTGCAAAATACATTCAGAATATTACTAAATATGTAGATATTACCTTGGCTGACTCTTGTTGATCAAAACCAAAATATTTTCCTATGTCAATAACTATAATGACTAGAGAAGGAAATTAACAAGGAAACTGCAAAGGGAGAAACAGATTTGATGACTTTTACACAAGACAGTAAAAACACTTTTATTCTTTTAAAGGAGTAAGTGAAATACCTGTGTTTATGAAGAAGAAGAACCAGGATCCAAATATAGCACAGAATCATGCCACATACTTCTGTCATGGCAAAGGCCCAAGGGATTCTAGGAACGCTAGAACAGAAAAATTACATTTTGGGCTGATGCCACTCTTTTCAGTAAGATACTCGTCTAATAATGACCTTAAAATTGATTTCTATAATTTTTATCTCTTTCAGGAGATGATATTTGGAAAATCTGGGGTGCGTAGGGAACTGTTTCACCAAGTACCCTATTCATCAGAATCTCTTTGTTGTCTGTCATTCCCAGGCATGTTTCTTTGTTAAGAAGTAACAAGCTTTGCTCTGGCCATGAGGACATGTTTCTTTATTCATTTTAGAGAGAGACAGAGACATAGAGGGAGACAGGGAGGGAGAGGGGTAGAGAGAGAGAGAGAAACACTGATCTGTTGCCTCCTGTATGCACCGCAACTAGGGATCAAACCCACAACCTCGGGAATGTGCCCTGACTGGGAATAAAATCTGTGACCTTTTGGTGCATAGGAGGAAGCTCAACCAACTGAGCCACACCTTTCAGGGCTACATTTTCTCTTTTCTTCTATCCTTTCATATTGATCTCTTTCCTCATCAAGTCCACAGCTCCTGTGGTTACCCACTAGTAAACGACATGCCACATTTCTTATTTTAGAAAGAAAGCAAGGAAAGCTGGAAGAAGAGAAGGAGAAAGAGGATGGGGAGGAAGGAAGGAGATGGAAACGAATTAGTTTAAATAGGTCAACACTCTGGGTGGTAAGGATTATTGGTGGTTTTGTTTTATTCTTTGTACCTTCCTCCAAAAATATTTATGCAATGACATGTTAGCTTTATAACTAAGAAAATAAAGGTATTTTTAAAAAGAAAACTTAAAATTTTAAGACATTTAACAGTCTACACCAAACCTTATTTAGAGTAACTTGGTCAATCTTCTTTCAGGAACTCATATTTTACCTATTACCTAGGAAAAAAAACTCCTCTTATATATTTTTAAACTATTACTGCCTTATTTATCTGACATTATTGGGGAAAAGGTTATTTCACATCACAGAAATTTTCAGATAAAAGAAAAGTTCCTTTAAATGACTTCTAAAAATTAAATTTTCAAAATAAACATTTAAAAACTCAACTTTACAATATTTATGATGAAAACACATTTTCTGCCCCACCTCAACCTAAACCTAATTCTTGCTCCCTAGAGACAATCACTTCACTTTTCATGTTCTATTTGTCATATTGTTTAGTCATAAACCTCTCTCTCTCCCTGCCCCCATCCTCTCAATATTACTTCACAATTTTGTTTAAACAATTTTTGGCTTTTTACTTAATGTAAGTTTGTAAATATTCATAGTGGAGTCAATAGAGAACAATAATTAAATCCCTTTCTTGTACAACTTTAAAAAAAAAAAATCCTCAACCGAGGATATGTTTTTATTGATTTTAGAGAGAGAGGAAGAGGGAGGCTGAGAGAGAAATATAGATCAGTTGTCTCCTGTAAGTGACCCAATGGGGGATCAAACCCGAAACCTAGGTTTGTGCCCTGATTGGGAATTGAATCTGCAATCTTTTTGGAGTACAGGATGTCACTCCAACCAACTGAACCACCTAGCCAGAGCATGTACAACTTCTTATAATTTTCCAGAATTAATAACTATTTATTTATTTATTTATTTATTTATTTATTTATTTAATTTATGTATGTATGTATGTATGTTAATCCTCACCTGAGGATATTTTTCCATTGATTTTTTTTTTTTTAGATAGAATGGAAGGGAGGGAGGGGGAAAGAGAAAGAAAGAGAGAGGGAACGAGAGAAACATTGATATGAGAGAGAGACATCCATTGGCTGCCTCCTATACTAATCTGACTGGGGCCAGGGATCAAACCTGAAATCCAGGTACCCCTTGACCAGGAATTGAACTCAAGACTCTTGGTCCTCAAGCCGATACTCTAACCACTGAGCAAAACCAGTCAGAACATAACTTTTTTTTTTTAGTGTGCTCTTTTTCTTGTACGTCTATCAATTTCAGTTTTTCTCCCAGAGCTCTTCTCCCTTTGTTTCTCCTAGAGCTCTTCTCCCTTTGTTCCATTCTAGAATGGTTGCCATTTTCTAGTCCTCCTGCATGGTTATTAGTTGGAATAAAACTTAACCCTCATCTTGGGAATTCCTCTTTTCTAAAATGGATTCTGTTTCCTGAATCGCATATCCTCTTTCTCAGTTTTGATGGTGTGTACCCTCTAGTTGTTTTCTGAGAAAGAGGGGCTGGAGGATAAACTTGCTTTTAGTGTCAGATTCATCTGAGGTTTAACTTACAAACAGAAAAATTTGCCCTTTTTAGTGCTACAGTTCAATGAGTTCGGACAAACATTCAGTTATGTAATCACCACCACAATACAGACACAGAACATTTCATCAGTCCAAAAAGTTCCCTTGTGCCCCTTTGTAGTCAATCCCCGCACTCATTTCCAGCCCTTGGGTAACCATTGATCTGATATGTATCCCTTATAGGCTTGCCTTTTCCAGAATGGCAAATGTACTCACAGTATTTATCCAGGTACCTTTTGTATCTGGCTATTTTCACTCAGAATATTACATTTCAGATTCATCCAAGTTATTGCATTTATAGTTCTTTATCCATTCTTTTTTTATTTTTTTATTTTTTTAATCCTCACCCGAGGACATTTTTCCTTTTTTTTTTGTTCAGGTAGAGTGGGAGGGAGAGAGAGGAACAGAGAGAGAGAGAGAGAGAGAAACATCGATGTGAAAGGGACACATCGAGTGGCTGCCACCCGCACAACCGACCAGAGCCGGAGACAAACTGCAACCGAGGTACGCGCCCTTAGTGGGAACCGAACCCGGGTCTCTCAGGACTGCAGGCCGACGCTTTAACCGCTGAGCCAAACCGGCCAGGGCTCTTTATCCATTCTTTATCTACAATTTCTGTATCACTATACTGGTTGATGGATATTTTGGGCTATTTTCAGTTTTGGGTCATGATGAATAAAGACCATATACAGGTCTTTGCATGGACACATGTTTTCATTTTTCTTGGGTAAATACCTAGGAATGAAACTGTTTAGTCCTATGTTAAGTGTATGTTTAACTTATTAAGAAACTATCAAACTGTTTTCAAAGCAGTTGCATCATTTTGCATTTCTACCAGCAATGTATGACAGTGTCAGTTGCTTTGAATCCTCACCAGACCTTGTTATTATCAATTTTTTTCATTTTAGATATAAGGCTAGACCCAAGGATATTTTTTTAAATTTTAAATTTTAAATAGGTATGGGGTTGGAGAGTAAATATTTCATGACTTGCAAATTTAAACAATATCCTTGGGTCTAGCCTTATATCTAATTGGTAGTTTGCCTGGACCAAGAATTCTAGACATAATTTTCTCTCAAAATATTAAAGGCATTGTTCCATTGTCTTCTAGTTTCTACTGTTGCTAAGAAGTTTGATGTTATTTGGATTTCTAATCTTTGCATGTTACCAGTTTTGTCTCTTAAGCTTTTTAGGATCTTCTGTTATGCTCAGGATTCTGAAATTTTTCACTTCTTGTACTGCTTTTTCAGTGGGCCCTTTCAATCTGAAAAGTCATGACCTTTGGCTCTTCTCCTTATATTATATCTTAGAGATAATACCTTCCCCTTCATTTTCTCTATGTATTCTTTATAAGAACCCTACTTGTTTATTGTGGGGCCAACTGGATCGAGATCGAGCTCACTTTTTCTCCTCTACTTTTCATCTCTGTTCTATATACTGGGCAGTTTCATTAAATCTATGTTCTAATTATCCTGCTGGATTTTAACTCCCCACCACCACCCAAGGACATTTTTGCATTTATCTTCAGATAGACTGGAAGGGAGAGAGGGAGAAAGAGAGAGAGAGAAACATCGACATGAGAGAGACACATCGACTGGTTGCCACCCACACAACCTCAACCGGGCCAAGGACAAAATGCAGCTAAGGTACATGCCCTTAGCATATGGGTTGCGACCCCTTTGGGGGTCGAACAGCCCTTTCCCAGGGGTCACCTAACACATAATAGTAGCAAAATTACAGTTATGAAGTAGCAACAAAAATAATTTTATGGTTGGGGGTCACCACAACATGAGGAACTGCATTAAAGGGTCGTGGCAGTAGGAAGGCTGAGAACCACTGCCTTAGTGGGAACCGAACCCAGGACTCTCTGGTCCTCAGGACAACACTCTAACCGCTGAGCCTAACCGGCCAGGGCTGGATCTTACCTTTCAACTTTCATTTCTTATTTCCCAAAAACCTTTTTCTCTGAGTTTTCCTTTTTTATAGGCTACTATTACTGTCTCATAGAACACAATATCTCTTATCTGTGAAAATATACATTATTATTTGTTTTGAAGTGTTTTTCTGCTCCTTATTTTGTGTTCCCAGTTTACTTTTTCTGTTTGCATTAGTCTGTTTTCCTCAAATGTTTGGTGATTCTTTTTTTTTTTTTTTTATCCTCCCTGAGGACATTTTTTTTTGTTGTTCAGGTTGAGTGGGAGGGAGGGAGAGAGAGAGAGAGAGAGAGAAACATCGATGTGAAAGGGACACATCGAGTGGCTGCCACCAGCACGACCAACCAAGGCCAGGGACAAATTGCAACCGAGGTACGTGCCCTTAGCGGGAACCGAACCCGGGTCTCTCAGGACCGCAGGCCGGTGCTCTAACCACTGAGCCAAACCGGCCAGGTCATGTTTGGTGATTCTTGACTGACCATTTATATTTACAGTGAAGTACTAAAAAACAAAAAAACAAAAACACCTGACACTCTGTGTGCATGTACTGAACTCGTCAAGCTGTAGGTTTCACCTTAGAGTAATTGAGCAGAGGTGTGGTTAATAAGACAGGGCTATTTTCTCTACTACAGCAGCCACAGTTCATTTTCTCTCGCACAGATTTTCCAAGAAGAGGACTATTCTCCTACTTGAAGACTGGGCCAGGGTAGGAGTGGGGATGGGATATAAATCTGGCTACTTCAGGAAGGGAGCTGAAAGTCTCAGTGATCAGTACATAGATTTACAGTTAATTCTGCCCTGGCCGGTTTGGCTCAGAGATTA